AAACATCTGAAGCAGTATTTCGATCCCAGCCGTCCCTCAATTCCCACAAGCATATCCGTCTACGCAAATTTACGTAGGCAGTTAGTATCCTTCTTTTCGTACCAGCCCAGTGAACACCGAAACTCGTTCAGGCTCTCTAACTTCTCTAGTATCACGTCGATCACTTCCAGCCCAGGGAGTCGAATTCGGTGTTTTTCATTACCACTACCTAGTTACACGTAATTATCTCAATTTTAATTGATTCAGTACTCTTTACATGCATCTGCGCAATGCACCTATCTGATCGCTACAATACAAGCTCAACATTCGTGTGAACGGTAGAGAATAAATGATTGTAAACAACTAGTTGCCTCCAAGTCAATGTTCTTTTGATAGAATTAAGATTATAGCATCACCGTATCTGTTCCCTTTTGATCACAAAACTTGAATTTCCCGAACCAATCAGCATTGTACATATGAATGAGACTACAAAAGATGAACGGTAACTGCTTCGACAGTGTCTAGTATACCTACCGCAAGTCCATCTTAACGCATGGGGTGTGGCTCAATAGAACAATGTAAAAACCGCAATTTGACCAATCCGGTTGAAGTTTCTCGGTCTTTCGTTCTGTCATGATGATGTCGGCAACACTCAACGCTCTTTAGCAACCACCTCCCCCTTCTCAAGACAAAGAGTTTATGCTTCTTTCCGAGTAACTGCTAACTAACCAAATAATTAGCTCCAGAATATTTGTTAGGCAACGCTCTAACCAAGCATATGCATACAATGTGCCAGCTTTGTGTATCACACTGATTTGGCCCGTTGTTGTTCGCGGCATAAAGTGACATTTTTGTCTGGCGGTTCGAATGTCTCTATTGTTTAGAGATAAAATCAAAAGGAATGTTAATTAACACATTTCTGATTGGAGGATAATTAAGAGTCGCGCTGATTTGAATGAGAGTTGGAAAAAAACAAAACGAATTGTGACATACACATTGCCGTTGTTGGATTTGAGCGAATGGCTGAACCAGGGGGGGGGTGTCATTTGGTTGAAAATAACACAAAAACGGTTCATGACATTAATTGTCGACTGTCAGCGAATCCTATCAAAGTCGTTCATTCCAGGAACATGACATTATTTGTTCATTCACTCATTTATTCACGCTGACCCGGGGTCGCAATCGAGTCAATTGCGAATGACAAAACTAGACGAGTTACAGTCTTCAGCTCGCTTTGACATTTCGCAGATTTAATCAGCTTTTGTTTTGCTCAACTGTAGAAGTTCAGAATAATAACGACGTGGGATGTTTCAAACGTTTCTCGACAAATATCCATTTTGTGTCAATGGCAAATTATATAAATTGCTTAAATAGTTCACCCTTGTATGGAGTCGCAAGACAGCCAGCAGCTATGTCCTGTCTCAAGAGGTCCCCCGGGGCATTAGACATATGCTCGAACAAAGGAAGTTGGTACCTTTCCTCGCATGCAGCCCTCGCGTGAAAAAAATCGTAAACAATTGTCTTTATCTAGTGCATACAGAAATTGATGATGAACCAGATATACATACGTAGGCACTGATCAAAGACGGAAGAAACATAATAAGAAATATGGGACAGCGCTTAAGAATAAAATACTCGGATTGAAAACAGAAAATAGTGAGAACTGGAAACACCGGAGAAAAGGAATGATGGTTGGAGCACAAAACTTTATGGTTAATCAGTTTGCAGTTAATTCTGTTTCCGGGAACAGATTGCGATTTATTCAAAATCGGCTAAACAGTCCCATGGAGCACGGATTGGTGAACAAGCTCAGCTTCAGCGATTCATAGTCATGCCAACAGAATGCAACAAATATATCAGTGCATATAGATAGATAAATCAGTAGCCAACGATAAAAAAATCTAGGGAAAGGGAAAATCAACACTTCAGATAACTAAAGGTGAATTTCGTTTTGAGAATGGATACTGGATTACAACTGATCGCATACTTTGAATTATGAAAAGGTTCATAGCTCGGATGGGATTCAAATCCACAAATTGACGACACGTATGCATTTCTACAGTCCACGCTCCACCAGCTGAGCTACAGGGACGCACATTTAATACTAATCTTTTTACATTCTGATTTGTTGCGTTAAAAGTTCTGTTTCTTCGACATTTCAATAAAATTAAACATAAGTCAGAGAAATTGCGTATTTCAAATTTTCATTTGATTGCCGTTTAGATTCTCAAAATGGTGATGCTCTTGAATATGGAATCGAAGATAATCCAAAAATCTAGAATGGGGGAAGGTGTAACATTTTTGTCGTGGGATGTATTTTAGTTTACAAACAATAGTGTGCACTACACCCGGTCACGTTAGCAAATATATCGTGTGCATAAATGTGCTTGTCCAAATTAAAACCAGCAGAAAAACCTCGGCAAGGGGAAAATATATAAGATCTGTAAATTTCGAATGTCTTACCGTTTTATGCCGGGATATATCAGGAAACGGTACAACCGTTGTGGATGAAGGCAAACTGTAACAAGTTTCCATATCACATTATTAGAACAGAGCGCTTTATTGAGCCTGAGAGCCTAGAACGACAGTTTAATAAATTTGATCATAATACTTGGATTATGAAAAATTTGTGACAAGTTAGAGGCGAGACATTGCATTCAGTCGGTCTGAGGATTCGTGTAAATTGTCACAGACCATAGGTGAAAACTAACAAAGTGCCTAAAAATGGGAGCCCATTTTAAGATCAGAGGGAACCTCAGAATACTTGTCATCATTGAGAAAAAGAGATTGGGGCATAGACCTGATAAAAGTTTCGTTTGGCCAATCTTCAAGTTTAAGGAATCTGTCAAGACTAATAAACTTAAATGTGTGCTGTAAACTTTGAAGGGATGGGAAGTTTATTTATGTGCAGTGACAATGGAATGCGGGAAAAGTGTATCGTGAAAATGCGGACAGTGAACCTCTTGAAAGAAAGTGAAGATTTACCCTTAAAACTTTGAATCGCGTGTTGTGCGAGAAATAATTGATAAGGACTGCCAACACATCAAATCCTAGGCCAAATCCGAAGTGTTGAATAAACGCTGCCAGAAGCTTGATCTTAACAGATGAACAATGTGGGCAGTTGCACCGGGATTGCAGAGGAAAGGTTTACAAACAAACTTAAGGGGATTATGTATATCAAGCGGAAAATTCCTACAGTTTGACGGTAAGAAGTAAGAATGTCACATCTAGCAGGACTGTCATGGCTGGCAAAATCTAAACATTCTGTGGAAGAAACCCTCTTTATTTTTAAATGGCTTGTTAAGTTCTGTGAAAAAGGGCCTTGTAACGAGCAAACATTTACATTAAGTGCCTCGGTGTACAAAATGGCATAATGATGAGAGGTGCTGATAGGAAATCTTCCTTTAGAGAAAAAGATCTGCAGATTGTTGAAAAAAAAACACCATCAAACAGCTTCGATGGAATTATCGCCATTCCATTCCCATTTCTAAGACGAGGTGAAAAACATAAAAATCGCTGAGAACAGGTTGCTCTAAACATTTTATACACAATGTGCAAAACTTTTCCACAAGCAAACAATATCAAAGACAGGCGTGTCGGAGGCAGATGATCTGAAGGAAGTGACTGCCAAAACCGGTCTCACGAAATAAAAATATGAATGACTTTGAGATAACTAAATTAAACCAAATTTCTGAACATTTTCACATCCGTCATGAGAATAACAATTCCAATGTCTGGGTTTGAAGATTCACTTGTGAAAATTGTTTTAAATCCATCAGGTTGAACAATCTCCTTTTCAACGTTCAAATGTAGTCAAATTTCCAGGTGTAGAATCCTTCATATAGATTTATGCATTTCTTGCTTACCCATTATACTCGTGACATCACTGAGCCTTCCCATTATCGAACGAATGTTGCTTGGAACAAAAGATTGAACAGGAATTTTGTCGACAGAACGCGCCACGCGCCAGCCAGCTAACCCGTATGACGCTTAGTCTGATATCCTTGATCTTTAATCTTCAATCGTTTGTAGCGGTTTCTCAAAGCATGAGCAAAAAAGATAACATTTGGCAATCACGCGCGATAAAAGTGGATAAAAAATTTAATACTGTCAGATAACAGTCGACCTTGAGAATTCAGATAAATTATTTAAAAGGGACGATCGAGCATTTCAGCGGTGCAATTTTGCGAAAAACAATATCCGTTGTTATCATGGCGCTGATGAATTTCATGGACCGCACGTCATGGTGATTATGCTCTGTGAATAAAAATCAGATTATAAAGAAATCTNCTGATGGGGTATTCGTTTGTACGTTAAGATGTAAGCACAGTTCAAAGGCATGGACTCCGCACACACACAAACACGAAGTTGTGTGAGAAAGATTACGAAAGGCTGGATGAAGTTTGCTTTTCACCCCTTCGCTTTATCCATTGTATCATTAGTTTTTCATTAGCCGCTCAGAAAGGTTTATGTTGATCGAAATGCGAAAGTAGATGCATGCGAAACGTCCAAAATTTCAAGAAAGTTTCAGACTTTTTATCTGACAAATAGTCAACTTGTTCAGAATGATAACATTGTAACAGTATCTGCATAAATAATAAGCTCGAAACTATGTTTTTTCCGGACTAGTAACTATCCATTCTCCTAAACCTCGTAGAACTTCTTTATTCAAAAGTCTGCTTAATCCATTCCTGGAAAAAAACCTTTTGATTAATGAACCATTATTTTTGCATGACCACGGTATCGGATTTGAGCAACGGTTGAAACTGGATATGACATCAGTTTCCCTGAAATATTAATGCATTGCGAAACCGGAGTTGTTCTTGGGGTATTAAAGGATCCAGTTATGTAAGAATTAGTGCATTCAGTGACTCACTGGAATAAAAAGTGATATATTTCAGAAAAAGAATTAATTACAAACTGAGTACAGCCAGAAATTGGAACCAAAATTTAACAACTGGTAACTATCGCCGTAATGGTAAAAAAATCACACAAAGGCGCAAAGACTGAAAGTAAAGTCTTCAAAATTTAAACTTGCCAAGTAATTTTTGATTCACTGAAGTCTCAGTTTGTTCATTATGAAGAACATAATTACGTCCGTTGTTGTTATCCCATGCGGAGTCAGTTTGGTTATTTTCCGCGGTCCAGATATACTGGATGGCAAACTCAAATCTACTACCCTTATCTGGTAAGGAAATCTGGAAAGCGAATGTTTCGTAGTCTCGTAGCTCGTTTGTTTCTTCAACTGGTGGTAAATAATGGGCTGGGTAGTCGACAAATGTGGACCATTTATCCGAGGAACAACGTACTATGACAGCTTTCTCGAACGCCACATTTTTCACTCGAATCAAGCCGAACAACTTTTGCGGTTCAATTTGAATAGAGTACTTGAACCGGCCATTGGTGTGTATATAGGTTGACGGTTGGATGAGTAAGCCAAGTAGGAACACGGTCGATTGAGTTTTCGTTTGTTGCACCGGACTCGGAACGAATGTCCACGTCGAGATCCGCTCGGACGCGCAAGTTGGGCCACTCCACAAAAGCGGACTGTGACTGACCACACGATTTTCCTCTGATTCGGTCGTCCCCTGATCGTCTGTCATACCCGATTCACCGTTTCCTCGATTTAGGGAAAGCAAATTACACGGTATCCATCGGCCCAAATAGTTTGCATCACCCAGTTCGTGAATTGTGGAGCCTAGAACAATGCAATCACGCAGTTGTCAATGTTTTTCTCATTTTTAACGTAATTTTAATTCAAGGACTAGACAATTGTAATCAACAGCCCCAATCTTTTTATCTCTATTGTAATTTTTTAGCAACTGAAAACTTTATGAGGTTAAGCAGAATGGAAAAATAAAGACTCTATTAGCTGATAACGATAAACAAAAATATGAATGATATTCAACGGAAAGAATAAGTTTAACTGATTT